GCCGCCGGCACTGCGCTCGGGTTTGGTGCCGATGTTTGATGTGCGGAGACAGACAGGCCCGCAGAACGTTCTGAGTCGGGGGGCTCACCGGCCCTTCCGCAGCCGAGGGCTCGGGAAGCGCCCAATAGTCAGGGGGCAGAGCAACATCGGGACCGCGACGACACCGAAGACGACGTCAACGGCAGGCCGATCCGATCTACATAGCAGCTTCCATTGACCCTGCTTGAACGCCAGCCGTGCGAGAACCCAGACGCCGACACGGAGCTCAGTCGGGCTTGGCGCATACCCTCGCTCTTTCGCGGCAACCACCACTCCAACGTCACCGGTAACAGAGGCGCTCGCCACCTTGGCCACCGGATTTGCGGGGATCTTGGCGGGAGCGGCATTCGGGCGTTCGGCGTTGCCAAGAGCCTCGCTGTTGCGGGCCCCATCTTCCCCGCGATACTTCCATAGGATGGCCTCCGAGAACATCCATCCGTGCACACACCGTGATGCTGCCCAACAACGTATGGCCCACCGAAGCTCCCACGCACATCGAGCCCGTATAGCGCGCATCAGAGGGCGTTGGAGAGACAGGAGGGACAATGACGATGACCATGCAAAGCTCTCCGAATCGCATCCGCCACGCGATATGGGATGGGGATCTTGATGGATGGCCGAACAGATCGCTGATTCTTTCGGCACGTGGCGGCCGAGATGTCCTCGCTCCGTCGAGGACGATAGATGTCCATGACCATGAACACTCACCGGTGGCGCCGAAAGGTCGGCCCGCGCTGAGCCTGACTCGGTCTATGAGGAGGAGCATCCACATGCATCTGAAATGTCATTCGCTCGCCTCGACTCTTCTGTACCGAAGCAAGGATGTAGCTATCGATCTAGTACGTCTTGGGGGTCTCGACGACCTGCGTCGGGATCCACACGCCCTTGTCGTCGGCCGCAGCAACCTGGACCCGGACGAACCGGTCGTTCTTGCCATCCTCTGCGCCGTCCTGGTCATCGAACGCGCCGTAGCCAAACCAGGTCTGACCATCAGGACCGCGGAAGAAGCTGCCGCTGCCCGGTCCAAACACGCCGCGCGACGATGACGAGCTGAGCGTCGACGCGCCCCGCTGGTACCACTGCGCCGGATCGAGCGGGTCGCTCGAGACGTCCTGGAACAGGACGCGCGTGTTGTAGTTGGACTGGTAGAAGTTGCCCTCGGCGTACGCCAGGTTGAGGGTCTGGGAGCCGTTGATGCGATTCGGGTAGAACCACGACGTCGGCGCCTCGGTATTGACGCCGTACGAGACGAGGTTGACGATGGGCCCGTCGGCCGTGTTGGCGCTGGTCAGCTCGACGATCTGCACGTACTCGTGGTTGGACCAGGTGAGGTACTTTTTGCCGTTAGGGTGGACGATGACGTGCGGGTCGAAGCCCTTGAGCGCCGTGCCGTTGTGCGTGATTCGGCCCAGATCCTCGTACTCGCCCAGCACGTCCTGGGTCCGCGAGAGGAGCGCCCGCATCGTATCGTCAGCTACGGCCGAGACCGTGTAGAGGAACCGGCCGCCATCCCAAGGCGTAATGTCGGCGGCCTCGGTGCCCACGCCCTCCGGATAGTCGGTCGACGAGTAGTTGAAGATGACGTGGTTCTTGGCCTCGTCGCGGTAGATGTCGTTGAGGTCGGTGCTGGCGCGCAGAAAGGCCTGCAGACCGAAGTTGACGTCTGGCGTCACGAAGAGCTGGCTGCCGTTGCCCAGAGGGACGGTGAGGAACTGCGGGTCGAAGCCTTCGCCCAGCGCATTGGTCACGCCCGGCGCCAGCGCAGGCGCTAGACCGGTCGGATCGTCTTGAGGTGTCGTCTTGTTGCCCGGCGCCGTAGCCGCCCCGTTGCCAAATGAAGGGCGGAAGTGGCCGTAGGGGACGTCGTGCCAGCGTCCCACACCTTCGTGGCCAGGTGCCGTGGCGATGTTGCCGGCTGGGAGCAGGCGGTTCTCGCCCTGCTTGGCCCCGTAAGCCTTGTTGGCATGTCCCTCCTTGCCCTTGGCATCCCCTCGTCGCCGCCTACTCCTTCCCCGGCTTCCCTTTCGCAGTGCCAGCCTGCTCTGTTGCCCTCTGGCTGCGGCGATCCGATCCGACGATGCGTCGGCCTTGACGTTGAGGGTCGATCGTCGGATAGACAGGGCCGTACCTTCGTCCGCAAGCCAGAGCAAGCATAGCCACGCCAGAACACCGATGCGCCAGCCAAACGAGACGGTTTGCGGAAGCGCCATGACGGCGAGGGATCGTGGTCAGTGGCCGCAGGTCGGACGGAGGGGATGCTGCTCCGAGCGTGTGAAGAGCGGGACCAGCCCGATGGATGACCTGGGCAGCACCGGGTATCGCTCTGCGGCTTCCTCGACGACGACGTCCAGCGTGATCGCGACAGCGCGGGCGAGAAAGGGTTGAAGCGCGCCGATCGAGGAGACGTCCTGGCCTGCGATCGAGCAGTCAGGGCCAAAGGGCAACGGCAGTCGGTGAAGGCGTAAAAGGGAATGGTTCCAGGACGGGAATCAGCAGCTGTCCTGGCCCTTCGCCGCCGCTATATATTCATCAGAAGCAAGAAGAGCGCCGCGCTCGTGGCTCGTCGGAGGGTGGAGCCACGCACACGTCTGGCGTGCGGCAGCAGTGTCGCATTGACCCCATGTTCTGCTTGACTTCTACCGGCATATCGATGGCGAGGTGAAGGGTCGCGATGAGGTGGTCGAGAAGACGGGCGCAGGCCGGCCGGGCAGGATGGGCAAGCCATGTCACTTTTTTTTCTCCCCTCTAACGCCGCGGCGCGTCGTGAGGCTTGGCAAAAGCCTGGGGCTACTTCGGAGACTATCGCCGACGTCGGGCTGTACCATCTGGTCGAGCCAGCCTCGCTCTCCGACCTTTCGCCGAGCACTTCAGGCAGCGTGCTAGTATGCTACAGGGGCGCGGGCTGCGCGAGTTGCAGAGCATGTAGCTATATGGTACATGGGGTGGGCGATCTAGATTCGCTGGCCTCTTGTCCCGACCCTCTTGCGGAACCTCTGGTCGTCCTGCGGGCTGGCGACGTCCGACGCGCTGGGTTCCTCGATGGTCGCTGCGAGCGCCTCTGCCTCATCCGGGCCCACCTCGCCGCTCCGGATCGCCGTCTGCCTCAGACCAAGGAAGTCGACGCCGTTGGACTGGTCGTGTGCAGCCGCAGCGTCAGCAGAGGGTGCAGACGCGAGAGCCGAGAGGGGGGTGGACGCAGATGGTCCGATGCCCAGGGCGGAAAGATCGAGCTTGCCCTCGCGGAAGGCCTGTGCGGCCTCGAGGTACCTCTCGCCCGCAGTGAAGGTCTCGTCGGTCCGCTTGACCCTCGGCGCCTTTGCTAGCTGCGCCTCTATCGCCGCCCTCGGGTCGTCGGCGCTGGCGGCCTGGAGGTCGCCCGAGGCCCACGCAGCCCAGGATTCGAGAGCCTTGTCCTCCTTTTCGAAGCCACGCTGGGTCTCGCTCCTGCCAAGGTCGGCGCCGTAGTACTTGGCCTCGAGGATGGCGTAGCGCCGGGCGTGCTCCTGCTCGGCCTTGATGGCGTAGAACGACGAGAGCGTGTTGTGGTAGGCCTGCGAGAGCGAGAGCCCTCCGTTGCGGTGAGCTGCCAGCGTACAGGCGATGAAGCTGGCACACGGAAAGGCGGGGCCGGAAACGACGACGATGAGCGGTCGTGGAGTCAGCTAATGGATGCCCTGGTGAGCGGCTGCGGCAGACAGGATGGCGGGGCCCTTCGCACTGGGTGCCTACTCACTCTTCGACGCTAGGGTTGCGGCCGTAGGAGGTGAGCTTGCGGGGGTCGCCATTGACGCGGGACTCTGTGCCGACCTTGTCGGTCATTTCGACGAGCGTCTTTGGCCTGTAGGCCTCCCACGGGTGGTCACGGAAGAACTGCCTGCGCAGGCGGTCCTCGTCGTAGATGATGGGCTTGGGTGCCAGCTTGGGGCCTTGGGCGCGGAGCTTCTTTTTGGAGTTGTTGACGTCGCGCTGGTGGAAGCGGGCGGCCGGAGATGGCGCCGACGCCTTTTTGGGGGCGGCGGAGGCGGCAGCGGGTGCTGCGAGCGCCTTGGGCTTGGAGCCAGAGGCGGGGTGGGATCGCGGTGGCTTGGTGCGGAGCGAGAGGGGAAGGTCATCGTTGGGCCGCGCGATGGCGTGGCGGGGAGGAGTAGGGGCGGGCGGGTGGTTTGTGACGGCCTCGTACCATGCCGGGGGCCGCTTGAGGAAGCCGGCATCGAGCAGGCGGGAGACGGTCTGAGGGACCTGGTTGGGCAGTCGTCGTGGCATGGTGCGGGCTGGGGCTCTGCGTTTGGCTGAGCAGACGGAGCGGAGTAGAGGACCGTTTGTACGAAGCTGGTTGGCAAGTGTCGGCGGGTTGTGAGGGGCCGACGAGGTGGACGGTGTCGAGGACGAGGATGGGTCGCGGGAAGGAGCGGCAGCAAGCGCAGGTTGGGACGTCGATTTTGGTCAGCGAGCCGGAGAGTGAGCGGGTTGGGCGGGCAACCTTTTCTTCCTCTCTCTCTGCCCTAGGCCTCACGTGCAGGTGCCCCGTTTTTCTCGGGCGGGAGAATTGGCCTGGAGCTGGCGGGTGAAGCGAGGCGGCCTCCTTTCAGGGTCCAGGCAGGCGGGCGACGCGCGACCCCTGAACGAGCGACGTACGGTGCTGGCCAGAGGCATGAGGCAGATGGCCGCTCTGCCAGGGTCGAGGGGAGGGGGGGCTGGCAGGTGTTTTTGTGTCGATTTTCCAGGCGCATTTCCCAGGTGGCTCGGCGGCGGGCAGAGCGACGCCGCCTGCCCTGCCTGGCCCTGCCTGGCCCTCTGTCAGCCTGCCACGCCCCATGCCCCATGCCCCACGGGCCAGCTGCCTGCCATCGCCGAGGTGCAGCGGAGAGGCCCACGACGACGACGACAACGACGACGGCCTGCTAACCCCCATCCACGCCACCCCTTCCATACATTCGATAGACACACAGCGGTCTGCCAACTCTTGGCCGCATCGGGCACCCCCGAGCCACCGAACGCGCGTGACGGGAACGTCTCAACCTCGTCGCAACCAACACCACCACCAGGGTGTCTACCTCCTGCTCTCCTCTGGTCGCCCCGCCCGCACGGCACCATTCCCTGTAGCCTGCCTCGCTCAATTGCCCTGAGACGCTTCAACCTCGGCGCTCACGACGACCTCTGTACCGGGGCCCTCGTCACGCTCTGCGCCTGCCGACGTTGCTTCTGCTCTTTCAGCTAGTCCCTCTGCCTGACCGCATCCTTGCCGCCACTGCAACACGACGCACCCGCAACATCGACTATCTGCCGCCCACGAAGCGGTCCTGGCTTCCGACATCATCCTCCGGCCTAGGCCCGCAACGCCCTCCTGAGATGGGTCGTCGCTAGAATACCCTCGTCAGAGGCATCGATACACCCAGCACGGCTCACTCAGCACATCCCCGGTAGACCTCGACTGCCATTCGACTGCCCGCCATGGCTTCGCGCGAGCTCCTACAGATCCTCCTCCCGGACAATGCCTCCATCCTCTCGGCCTCGCTGCCAACGTCGCACAAGTCCACCATCGCAGAGCTCATCGCACTGCTCCTCAAAGACCCCGTCAACAGCACCCAGCTCCGCAAGGTCTTTGGCGACCACTTTGACCCCGAGCTCGATATGACAGACGCCCTGCAGCAGGTACAAGCCGCTACTGCCTCGTCTCCCTGGCTCGTCGACAGCCGCGGCCGTCCTTGGGCCGTTCAGACGGTCGAGGTCAGCCCGGCCAACCGCGAGTGGAGCGAGGACGAGCTCAACCAGCTCGGAGACGGTGAGCAGCTTCCCCGGCATTGCGGTCGACCCCTTTGTGTGAAGCCGGCAAGCTGAATTGCATCTTTCTCGTGATCTCTGTCTCCTACTTTGCGGCCGGAAGGCCTGCTTCCTCTGCACACGGACGTATTCTCTCATCTCCGTGCCCTCAACGACACCGCCGACAAGGAGGTTGATCCAAGCGCAGGGCCGCCGGCGCCCAGCGACGCTCAGCCCGCCTTTTCAGACTTCCTCCTCTCGTCTCATCTCCACAGCCCAAGGCTTCGCCTGGTGTGTGGAGCCCCAGGCCTCCGTCTCCGCCTTCGATTCGGCCATGTTCCCGAGATCTACGACGGCTGGCAGGGGCGGCTCTGGTTCCTTCCCGCGGTCCACTCGGCGGCTGCGGGCGCCATCGGCGTGGGTGCGTCGGCCAGCGAGCTGGTGGAAGCGGTCTGCGAGGAGCTCGGCGTCCGCCGAGTGATCTTGCAAGGCAGCAAGTCCGCTCGCGTCGTCTATGCCATCGCACGGCTGCCGTCGACGGCGCCAAACGCACCCACGCCGATACCTCCGCCGCCGCCTCTTCCCGCCACCACCAGCTTGCCGGATCTGCTCGCCGAGGAAGGGCAAGATGCCGAGCCTGGGCTGATGTTCACAATCAGCGCCAGCTGGCTGTCGAACCTCGGTACAGTCGCCCACGGCTTCTCAAAGCACGCGCGACGGTCTGGTTCGACGGCAGAGGAGGCGACGAGGCCGCCCGAGGCCGCCAGCAGCGAGGCCGCAGCGGGTCCAGCCTCGCCACAGAGGTCTGCGGCGCAGCGGTCCGGCATGCTCGGCCTCTGGGGCGCGGCCAGCGTCAGCAAGGCCACTGCGGCACTGATGTCGAAGGGTGCCACGGCCGCTGCTGCCCCCACTTCGGCAACGTCGAACCCTGTCTCGTCGACCGGCGATGCCGATCTCGATGCCTTGATCCAGACGCTGCCCGATCGCGGCGACGAAGACGAAGACGACGAGGACGACAGTGGGCCGGGCACTCTCAAGGGCGCTGACAGGAAGCAGCTGTTGCGGCAGCAAGGCGACGACGACGATGGGCAAGGGCTTGCTGGCGAGGGGAGCGATTCGGCGTCTGGTGGGACACTGACGCATCACGCCGCCGAGGCTGCAGCAAGCCTGGCCGCTGCAGGGTCAGCCACGGGATCTGTCCACGTGCCCGCAAAGCGCAGCCGCCAGACGCACACCACGACCGCTCGGCTGAGCCGGATGTTCGAGGGCTGGATCGGCAGCGGCGCGAGTGAGGCCACTTCTCCTACGGCGACCAGCGAGTCTGCGGGTGCGCCGGCTTTCCCGTCGACACCGACACCTCAAACACGGAGGGCTGTGCCCGGCACGGTGGGCCGCAGCGGCAAGACCTTCAGCGTCAGCGGTCCTCTGGAGCTCGAGGACGATGGCCTGCATTCGCGCTCGCCCTCCATCGCTTCCGTTCATGCCGCATCGCCGACCAGCAGCGGCGTGTCGACTGTCGCAACAAACGACAGCCCCGAGGCAGAGACGCCCGAGGAGCTTTCCTCCAGGTTCGAGCAGCTCATGATGGACCTGGGCATCAAAGGCACAAGCCGCGCCGCGATGCTGGCGCTGCCCGACGATCGGAAACGGTTCTTAATCAAGCAGAACGAGACGGCAAAGCTGGCGTCGACCCCGACCAAGCAGCGAGCCTCGACCAGCGATGCTGCCGCCGCCAACGACCCAGCGCACGCCGGCGCGCTGTCAGAGACGCTCAGCCGAGCCTCGATCGTGGCCGGCACCTGGTCCAACCGCTTCAGCCTGGCCAGCATCGCGAGTTGGGGCACCACGGATACGAACCACAGCGGCTCGGCCAGGGGTGCGTCGGACGATCCGGGCGCCAGCCCCTTGACGGCCAGTGACGCTCGCTTCGATCTTTCGGCGAGCAAGGGCAGCGCACGGCCAACGGCGCTCGTCTCGGAGGATGGCACCGACCCCGCCAATAGCCTGACGGCCCAGAAGACTGGGGCCAGCGAGGCCTTCGGCGACCTGAAAGCCAACCACACCGGCAGCAGCGCCGGCCTGGCTTCGAGCCTGTGGAGCAGCTGGTGGGGCGCCCCGGCCGGTTCGTCTACTACCGGCGCCACCAATGCAGGCAGCGTGTCGGACAAGAGCTCCCCAGCCTACTACGTGTCGCAGCTGCGTGAGGGCAAGCTGGGACGCAAGGACCTCGTCAAGCATCTCCTCTCGCTCCGCGTCACGCTGAGCAGCGCCAAGCTGACGTGGATCGATGGCTTCCTCAACGAGGACGGCCTGGAAACGCTAGAGGAGGTCATGCGCGTCGAGACGGACAGCTTCACGAGCAGCCTCGACGCCACCAAGGGAAAGCGGGCCGAACGGAAGGAAATGTCGGACACCTTGCTGCTGGAGGCGGTCAAGTGCCTGCGGACGCTTATGAACACCGAGCTCGGCTTTGAAAAGGTGCTCGAGCGACCGCTCCTCATCAACTACATCGCCTTCAGCCTGCGCTCGCCCTCGTACAAGCTGAGGCTGCAGGCGGCCGATGTGTTGGCGGCGCTCTGTGTGCTCTCCCTGGCCGACGGGCACCGCCTGGTGTGTGCGGCGCTGTCGGAGCTCAAGATCATCGCCGGCGAGAGGTTCCGCTTCGCTTTTCTCGTCGACAGCCTCCGCTTCGACGGGGCTGACGCCGACACCTCTGGCGACCACAGCACCTCGGCCGACCTGGCCGAATCCGAGGCGGACGAGGCGATCGTGTGGGAGTATCGCACGGCCGCCATGGTGCTGATCAATGCGATCACCAACAGCCCCGAGGACCTCGAGGAGAGGCTGGCGCTGCGAGACGAGTTCGCACGCCGCGGGCTCAACGAGGTCATGGTCAGCCTGCGCTACGTCGATCCACCCGAAGGCCTGCTAACCCAGATCCAGGTGTACACCGAGGAGAAACAGGACGACCAGGACGAGCTGCACGAGAGGACGATGCGGTTCGCAGAAGACGATCCGCGCCACGCCCCGATCTCGACGCTCGGAGAGGCCGCCCAGCTGCTGCAGAGCTCCAAGGAGAACCACGAGGACCTCTACCCCATCGTCATCTCCATTCTCCGGCATACCTCCACCATCCTCGAGCGCGACATCGACCACCAGTTCAAGACCGACCTGATGTTTGTCGTCGAGAAGTTCCTTGAGCATTCCGTCGACGTGGTCGACTTCGATGAAGGCTGGCGCAGCTTCATGAAGGCCTACCTCGCCAACATCCAGCACCTCGTGGGCAAGCAGGCCATGATCAAGGCCAATCGGATGAGCGACACGAGCTCGGTGCCGAGCAGCTTCGTCGAGGAGCTCGAAGGGCTGCGGGCCAAGGTCGAGGAGCTCAGCGACGAAAAGGCGCGGCTCAAGTCGGAGCTCAACGAGCAGACGGCCGAGGTCAACACGCTGCGCAGCTTGCCAGGCGCGGCGGCTCTGCAGCGCGATGCGGACAGGAACAGCACGGACGCACAGGCCCCATCCACGCTGCCGAAGCGAGGCGGTGACAAGGAGAGCTTCGCCGGAGTCATCCAGCGCCTGGTGGCCAAGGAGAAGCAGGTCATCGAGCTGCAGGCCGAGGTCGATCGGCTCACGTCGGCGACGAGGCCCAACGACCGAGCCGATGGCGACGAGCGGGCCAAGCGGGATCGCCTTGAGCGCAACCGGCAATGGACCAACCTGATGGAGGAGATCGCCCGGCACAAGGTGCAGATCGCCGAGGCTGAGGGCCAGGTTGAGTCCAAGGAGCGCGAGATCAAGTACCTCAAGCGTGCCCTCGAGGCGGTCTACGGGCGCTTCCAGAGCGGGCTTGGCTCGCAGGCTCGGTCGCAGGAAGGTGCAGCCGCTCTCGAGGGTGGCTTGAGCAGAGCCTCAGATGCCCTCGCAGACAGTGAAAACGAGGTCGACATGATGGCACGGAAGACGATCGATGCCCTCGGCAGCAAGGACACCGAGATTGCTGCACTGCGTGCGGACGTCGCCAAGCTGCAGCAGCAGGCCCTCGATGCGATGAAGCAAGCGCAGGACACCTCTCGCCAGGAGGCCGATGCACAAGCGCTGAAAGTCAAGGACGAGCAGATCAACAAGCTCAAGGGCGAGGTTGCCAAGCTGCAGGCATTGCTGCTCCAACTCCAGACCCAGCCCTTTGTGCCTGGTGCCAATGGCATCGCAGCCGCCCCGGTCCATCGTCAGGCTCCCCTGCCTCCCGGCGCTCGGACGAGCGCGGGGACCTCGATGCCGCCACCGCCGCCCGCACCGGATGTCACCACTGCCAGTGGCAAGACGGTGATGACGGAGATGGACTACAGGCGCAAGGTTGCCCCGCCCCCTCCGCCGCCGCCAGCGAAGCGACGCCAGAGCGGCATCAGCAATCCTGCCTCGCCCACTGTCTCACCGCAGGTGACGGGCAACGGCAGGGCCATGGCCACTTCGGGACTCGACCGTCTTGTCACTTCAATCAGCGAAGAGCCGAAGTCGTTGGATGCTGCCGTAGCCGATCCCGCCCAGGCCCAAGCCTCTGCACCAACCCCGCCCCCACCACCACCGCCACCGCCCCCTCCAGCTCTCGCCGGCGCGGTAGCGTTGGACACCTCAAGTCAGGCACCACCGGCGCCGCCACCGCCGCCACCGCCTCCTCCTGCTCCTCTTGCACAATCTTCTGCAGTCGCCGGATCGATGCCTACGATGCAGCCCAGTACCAGCGCCGGGGCGGGCCCTCCTCCCCCTTCGCCGCCACCGCCGCCACCTCTGTCGTCATCGCTGCAGGGCGGAGGGTCGACTGCCCCTCCTGCCTCGCCTCCGCCTCCACCAGGGCCGTTGGGCGGTGCACCTCCGCCTCCTCAGCCGCCCCCTGCGCTTCACGGCGCTCCGCACGGTGGCGCACCTCCGCCGCCACCACCTCCGGCGCCAGGTGGTCCAGTCCCTCCTCCGCCTCCTGGTGCACCGGCAGCTCCAAAGACGCCGCTGCTCCCTCCGATCCCGGCCAAGAAGCGTCGGGCGCTGTTCTGGAACAAGATCCCCAACCACGCGCTGGCCCGAACTGTCTGGAGCGAGCTGCCTACCACGCCCATCAATGTCGCCGAGGAGGTGGACCAGCTCGACGACTTGTTTGCGGTTGGCGCCAAGGCTCCGCCGGCGGCCGCGACCAAGGCATCGGCGAGTACCAACAAGAAGGCTCCAGCCACGCTGATCGATCTGACGCGCGCACAGAACGTCGCCATCCTCCTGTCCCGGATCAAGCTCCCGTTCCCAGAGATCCGGGCGGCGCTGCTGCAGATGGACGAGAACCAGCTGAGCGTCGACAATCTCAAGGCGCTCAAGTCGTGCCTGCCCACCACCGAGGAGATGGAGATCATCCGCGACTACGATGGAGACGTTTCGGCGCTAGGCAAGGCCGACCAGTTCTTCAAAGAGATGCTCGGCATCCCGAAGCTCCACGAGCGCCTGAGCTGCATGCTCTACATCCGCAGGTTCGAGCTCGACATCGAGGAGCTCAAACCGGACCTCAAGATCCTCAAGGACGCCGTCGTCGAGCTCAACGGCAGCCAGAAATTCAAGAGCGTGCTCCACACGGTCCTGATGATTGGCAATGTGCTGAACTCGTCGACTTTCCGCGGCGGTGCGGCGGGCTTCCAGCTGTCGGATCTGCTCAAGCTGCGCGAGACGAAGCCGACCAACCCGACTCCGGCCACGCCGTCGCTGCTGCACTACCTGGTTCGGCTGCTCAATAAGGCGGACAAGGAGCTCGTCGGCTTCCTCGACGACTGCTCGCACGTAGAGGCGGCGGCGCGCATCTCGACGCAGACCATCATGCAGTCGATCACGGCGCTCGTCATGGGCCACGACGGCGTGGCCGAAGAGGTGCGGGTCCTGCAGCGGATCCGCATCTCTCCGCAGGGCGACCGCTTCCTGCCCGTCATGGAGGAGTTCCTCCGCCACTCGACGAGCCAGATCAAGGCACTGCAGACGGCCGGCGCCAGCATCCAGGCCAGCCTGACGAAGCTGCTCAGCTACTACGGCGAGGACGCCACGACTACCAAGCCGGAAGACTTCTTTGGCCTGGTGGCGTCGTTTGGCCAGGCGCTGATGCGAGCCGAGGTCGAGGTGCTCGAGGCTGACCAGAGAGCCGAGGCTGAGGAGGAGAAGAAGCGCCGCAAGGCGTTTGGCCAAGGCCTATCGGGGGTCGGGGGGCGACTCGTCATCCCCAAGTTTGGTCCAGAGGTGCGAGGCCCGCTCGAGGCCCTGCAAGAGGAGGCTCAGGCGCCAGCGCCCTCGTCGCCTTCGGCTGCACCGTCATCTTCAAGCGGCGTGCCGGACATGGTCGTCGAGGCGGATGCGACGCAGACGACGCCGGCAGAAGAACACTCGCCGACCGACGGCAGCCTCCTCTCTCCCTCGGACTCTACCCCGACAGCCTCGCGCTTCCGATCCTGGGGCGCCTCGGCGGCCTCCACGCTGTCCTCGGATACCGCCACGCTCGGCCGGTCCTCTACCATCAAGGGGCGCGGCGACGGCGCGGGCAGCGGCAACACAAAGGCCGACCCGCTTCGACGCTCGTACGGTCGAGGACGGGGCCAGCTCGACGAAGCGATCAAGGAGCTGCGCAACGGCGGAGGACGCAAGGGCGGTCAGTTTGGGCACAGCCGCGGCGGCGAAAACTCGACCAGCTACGCCGCCAACCTGCCCCCCGGCGCCGCCATGCTGGGCAACGGCAAGGGCACGCTGAGCGGCAGAAAGAGCCTGAAGATCAAGGAGACGCAGAGGAGACCCCTCAGCGGCCTATTTCTCATCGGAGAGCCAGCCAATCGCGAGTACGGCGGGTAGTTTCCCGCTTTGCACGCCGTGCCTGCGCCGCCTCTGCCCCCCTCGCTGCGCCTTTGCTCTGCCTCGATTGCAGCCCTCACGACATGACAGCGACAACGACGACACCTGCGACGACTCACGACGGGCGATGATGGAGTTGATGATGACGACCCTGATGACGATCACAACTCATGGGAGAGACGATCGTGTCACAGGCACGATCCATGTAAACGTATCGAGCCACACGCGTCTGCTGCACTTTTTTACTTATACCACGCAACCCCACACCGCACCGCAGGGCGGGCGAACAACGGACGACGACAGGCCAATGTGGGGGGGATGATCCGCAGGTTGCAAAAGGGAGAAAGCCAAACAAGCACGGTGCAGGTGACAGGAGGTGGTGGGGAAGCAGGGCAGCGCGATGGCGAACAGGGGGAAAGGTGCCGGCCGCCGTCAGACCTCCCACGCCTTTGGCTGGCCATCCTCGCGCGGCACAAAGCGCCGGTCGATTTCCTGGGCATCGAACCCGTCCTGGGCATCGACAGCGACGCCGGCCGCCTTTTGCCGGACGCCCTCGACCTCTGCGGCAAAGTTGATCTCGGACTGGCCGCGCATCCAGCTGTCGCGGCCGCCCTTTCGCAGCGCATTGAGGTCGCCGCACTCTGCGGCACCCGCCACGCCCACGCTGCCGGCGCCGGCGGCGGCGGCGAGGCGCGGCTCTCCACCGGGCAGGCCCTGCGCCTTGCGCTTGCGCGCCTCGTCGCGCCGCTTCTGGTCCGCCTCCTCGGCCATCTTGCGATGCCGCTCCACCTCCTCGAGGATGGACCGCGCGCCGCGCTTCTCGGCGAGCTCGTGGGCGACGCGGATGCCGAGCTGGCGCGCGTCCTCGACCGTCTTGCACAGCGCAGAGGTAGAGTAGCGCGCGCACCGGCTGCCGTCGAGCGACACGACAATCGTGTCGAGGAACAGCGTCCGTCCCTCGGGCGGCGACACGGAGCGGTTGGCGATGTTCATCGTCCTCGCTGCAATCTTCTCGGCCAGCGTCGACTCCTTGCTCGCTGCAGCCGCGCTGCCACTCCCGCCGGCCTCCCGCTCGCGACGCTCGGCGGCCAGGCGCTCCTGCTCCGCCGCCGTGTCCAGCCGGTGCAGTGGCGGAGGCGCCGGGACGGCAGGCGCCGGCGCCGAACCCTTACCGCTCGTCTCTAGCCCGACCAGCTGGTTGACAGGGATAGTGTGTCCGTCCTTGCACAGCGGGAGACCGCCGTTCGGCAGCTCCGCCTTGGCCTGCGCGCCATCCTCGCCGAGGACGGCATCATCGACGAGGCTGATGGCCTCGTTCCTTAGTCCCTCGACCTCGGCGTGGTCCTCGAACCTCGATTCCACGCCGACGGGGATGGAACAGCCGCCCTCGAGCTCGCGGAGCAGCGAGCGTTCCGCCTCGGCCCGGAACGTCGCCCGCCAGTCGCCGATCGAACGGATCAGGTCCCGAACCTTGGCGTCGCGGTTGGTCGCGGGGTCGGCTCCCTCTGGGGGCGTGCGCACCTCGATCGCCAACGAGCCCTGGCCGACCGAGTAGAGCAGGACGGGCGAAGACAAGAAGGCCGTGATCCGGTGGTGCAGGCTCAGCCGCACCAGGCCGGCAGCGGCCAGCACGAGGGCCGTATAAGGTCCGTTGGGTGCGTCCAGCTTGGCCAATCGGGTATTGAGGTTGCCTCGTACGTCGCTGAAGACGAGGTGCGGGTATCGTCGGCGGAGCTGGGCCACCCTTCGGATGGAAGAGGTGCCAATGACGGAGCCGGAAGGCAGCTCGTCGAGGGTGCGGTAGGGCAGGCCCTGCTTGATGACGAGCGCATCGCGCGGGTCTTCCCTCTCGAGGATGGCAGCGATCTCGAGGCCAGGGGGCAGGGTGGTGGGGACGTCCTTGAGGCAGTGGACGATGGCATCGACACCGCCCTGCTCGAGCGCGACCTCGAGCTCCTTTGTCCAGATGGCCTTGCCCTCGCCGCCGATGACGTAGAGCGGCGACCGGAGGTTCTGGTCGCCGGCAGTCGACATCGAAGTAATGGGAAAGGTGAATGGCCGCAGCGGAGTGGGCGGCGACGTCTGGAAGGACTCGAGGAGCTTCTGTGCGTCGCTGGCGTCGCGCTCGGTGTGCTCGACGGTGAGCTTTGAGCTCGAGGCGATGCCGTTCTGGCCGAGGAGGGCTTCCACCTCTTGGCCCTTGCCGGCAAAAACGGGAGAGGACCGGCCATAGCGTGCCTCGAGCATCGCGCTCACGTGGCTGCTCTGGACAAGCGCGAGCTGGCTGTTGCGGCTGGCAAGGACGAGGGTAGTGCTGGGGTCGAGGCCGATCTGACCATCCTTGTCCATGGGGAGGGGGTTGATGTTGGCCTCCTTGCGAGCCTGGTCGAGCTTCTGCGCGCGATCAAACTCGGAAGCGGTGGCGCTGTGGGTGACGGCGAACTCGTGGAGCGAAGGCAGGCTGGCCGTGGGCGACGAGAGGAAGGAAGAGGAGCGGGAGAGGGGCGGCGTCTGGGCCAGGTCCTCGGGAGAGCGGAAGAAGACGCAGCGCGGTCCCGTCGGCGGGAAGAGGGTCGAGGGCGGCGCTTCCGCCACCGGCGGGTGACCCGGTGGCAGAGGCTGTGACTTGGCATGGGGTACGGGGCACGCCGACTCGTCCGACCAGCTTGGCCGCTCGCCGTTCTGGTCGCCAGTTGATGCGAGCTGATGGCGATCCGCCTGCTGCGCTGTTTGGTGCGTCTGCGAGTCCATGCTTGCGAGCTCCGTGCTGTTTGATACGTCCGATTCAGGTGACGTTCACGATCGAGCGGGATCCGTCCGATGGCTGCGGTGGGCAAAGTGACTGCTGTCGGGTGATGCGACGAGGGTGGCAAAGAGAAGCGGCACGAAGCCGACGAGCGTATCGATGAGCTGCGAGGTGCTGGCCGTAGACACCGATGTGGCGGAAGCTGCTGGATGGTCGTGGCGAGGGAGGGTATGGGCTGGGTGGATGGTGATGGAGATAGAGGAAGTAAGCGTCGCCACCTGCACAAGGTTTGGTACGTCGAGCGGCGGCCGGATGGCTTGGAGCGAAGACCGGGAAGGGTTCGTCGGGTGCTGCGTTTTGCGGAGGCGTTGATTGGCCGGGGAAATCGAGAAGGCTGACATGCTCGCATGTCCCGGCCCCGGCCTGGCCTGGCTGGCCCCAGAGGCAAGCAGCCGGTCTGTTGCCGTCCAAGCTGCCGGCCGGCCTTTCGGTTTCCCTGCCAGGCCTGGCCTGCCACGCCCGAGCTCCGTGAATTTGGCGGCGGCGGCGGCTGTGGGCCCGATGTCGAGACTTGGCTGGTGAATGAGCTCAGGTGGAAATTACCCTTTCTCGTGCGGCAGCGTTCCGAAATTCGATCACGCCGCTCGGAAGTGTCAGATGGGCCAAGCAGGGCCAGGCTGGGGCCAGTTGGCGGGAGCCTCTCAGGCAGCGGCTTGGAATTTGGGCCCCAGGGCGCGCCTCCGACTCACGCCGCTCTCGGCATCGCAGTCGCCCGGGAACCCATCTACGCCTTACCCCACCAACCCACCAACGACACTCCATACTCGTATCACCATGGACGCCCTCGTTTACCGCAAGTGAGCATCGCCATTGGTCTTCTGAGCAGCTTCCGACCTCGTGCGACAGCAGCATCTCAGCACATCTGGCACGGGCATCCTGCGTTTGAGCGGGGTTGCCAGTCCGAGGACCTCGCCCTACAATCATCGCTGGTCGCACCGTTAGCTGCTTGCCTAGGTAGCTGAAAGCGCCCAGCCCGGAAGGACGATCTCGATGTTCCCTTGCCCAGAGCTAGGATCGCACCTTCCTCGCTCGACCCGTCCCCGCCGCCTCGTCCACCAGCAACCGCACCTCTTCCAATCTGGCAAGGCCCTATCGGTCCTGACTGACCACCCCTCTCGCCTTTTGATTCTTCCTTGCCTACCACTTCAGGAACACCGTCCCCGAGCGCCAGCGCGCCCTCCAGGCCGACACCCGCCCCGTCTACCAGAGGCTGCCCCGCTCGCGCCTCTACATGGGTGTCTACATGGCCCTCTTCGGCATCGGCATGTACGGCTCCTTTGCCGGCTTCTACAACATGGCTGTCGTGAGTAGCGCCCGTCGCTCGGGGGATCGGAATATATGGGGCGATCTTTGAGTTTCAACTTTTGACAGCTTGCTAACGATGTCGAGCCCGTTGCCTATCTTCTCGCCTCTCTCATAAACAGGGCAAGAAGCGCCAGTAACGGACGCGCACTGAGCGGGAGCGGTCGGCAAGAGGATAGCCCGAACTGTTCCTCCCGGTCTCCTTTCCTCTTGAGCTCCCCGGACCTGCTCGCTCAAAGTGATGTCGACGGCGGTCCTCTAGCCGTAATGCTACAACAGTTCCTGATCTCCTAGCCCAGTCTGGATCTGCGAGCCAGCGCGTGCACGCGGCCCTACAAGTCCTCGCCCTCGATTTCCAGCTCGTCGTCCTCAATGAGCTGATGGAGGAAGTTGTGGAAGCTGAAGAGCGGGAAGCCGACGACGTTGTTAAAGTCGCCTTGGATGCCCTTGATGAGGAGTGAGGCTCGGCCCTGTCGATCGTCGGCGTTTGGAGGGAGAGAGGATTGACCGAGTCAGCTCATCATCGTCATCGGGCGTGGAGGATGGGGAAAGCGCTCCTCACTTGAATGGCAAAGCCCCCGGCGCGGTCGAGTCCCTCGCCCGACTCGACGTAGGCCTTGAGCAGCGAGGCGGGGTTATCCGCAAACTGCACCGTCGTCGTCTCGAACAGGGATCTGCGAGGGGGGCGAGGATGGACAGGTCAGCCTCGACTGCGAACCACGGGCATGGTTGCAAAAGAGTCGAACTTACCGAGCCTTGTAGCCGGGTGCCTGGAGGATGGGGTAGATGAATGTGACTCCGGTCACGACTTGACACTGTGACCGGGGCGCAGGGGGCCAAGTCGACCGAGAGAGCGCCGCAGCGTGAGCAGGTGTGGGCACGCTGGGTGGAGACAACAGGGGCGGCACGCACCGTCTTTCCGTTAAGGTCGGCGAGCATGCGCAGGTTGTCCTGAGCGTCCAGCGGCTTCTCCAAGATCTCGTCGTCTCGGATCACGACGGTGTCGGCTGCACCCGTGTCGTAAAGTGGGAAGGTCAGATCAGATCAGATCAGATCAGGACAGATCGGACCGAGGCTGTGGCCGGTAGAGGAGGCGGGAGACTCACCGCTGATGACAAAGTCTGGTGGATCCTCGGGGTTCTCGGACTGCACCGTGGAGAGAGGGACGACGTCTTCAATGTCGATCCTGCGGTTTGCCATTGTGGTTGGGTCTCGCGAATGAAAGTGGAAGGACTCACGACTAATCTCTCGTAGACCTCGAGGGCCTGTGCGCGCGTTGATGGAGAGGGGATCAAGGAGGCTGTGAGCGGTGAATAGTAGCTGAAGAGGGTGGCGGACCGTCGACGACGCACCTTCTTGGCGCCCGTCTCGACGGGGTACTGAAACGCGCCTTCGCCCCGGAAGGCCGCCTTGGGCAGATCCTCCTTGAACGTCGAGGGGACGATCTCGGGATGAATGCCCTGTCACCGCGTTGCCAAGCAGGAAGCATCACCCTGTCAGCCTATATGACCTTCGCTTCGAGCGCCGAAGTTTTGAGAAGGGGAGAGCAGAAACGTACGACGCTGGCGAGGATCTCCTTGCGCCTCGGACTGGCAGAGGCCAGGACGACCCGCTTGCCCGCCAGCTTGTTGAAGACTGGCGAGGACAGCGCAAAGTCGCTCACAGATTCTTGTCGTGTCGTCATGTTCTCGTCTGCGGATCGAGAGGTGAGGGAAGGGCGAGGATGAGGCTGGTGGCGGCGTCGAGGACGGGTCACCGAGGCAGGTGCAGTCAAAGTCCAGGCAGCCTGGCGGGAAAGTGGAGTGCCGGCAGCGGCAGCTAGCCAGGCGGCGAGCCCGGGAGTCGGGAATGCAAGAAACGAGGAAGCTGCGCACAGACGACACAGTGCAGCCCAGAGGCAGCTAGCAGGCCGGCAGGGCAGGCAGAGGGCACAATTCCGATGGCAAGCCGCCTGGCACTCCCATGTTACAGCAACCACGGCCAACACCACCACCTATAGCTTCGAGATGGGCAGGGAAGAGTGCGACGCCGGCAGGACCTTGTCGACCAACTGGTCATCGAGACGCGAGCGCAGCAGCCATGTTAGCAATCGGCCACCCTTCCGACCTGCCTGCGGTCGCTCGAGGGGCAACTCACCTCCTTCGCCTCGCACGCCGCTCCCCACGAGGCCTGGTATCCCCAACCCCCGTAGCTGCAGCAGCATGCAAAGAAGCCAACGGATCAGTTGTCGATATTGCAGCCAGAATGCTGTCCCCCATCGACCCAAGACTCACCCGTAGTTGTACACGACCTTGGTACCGTCGACGTCGGCGCCGCGCTCGAGCCGGACGCCACCCTTCCTGGCCGGTCGCAGTCCGACATTGACGCCGAGCACCTCGACGTCTTCCACCTTGGCACCATGCAGGTGGGGCAGCGTACGATCCGGCCTCGCCAGCTGCGGACACACTCGGAGGCAGCGTTGCAGGATTGCCCGCGTCGTCTCGGGTCGGACGGCAGCGTCCCTTCGAAGCCGAGATTACGAGCACGAGAGAGAGGCGGAAGTCAGCTCTTTTCTTGCCGGCAGTTCACATCGCAAGCTAGCCTATCTGCGTGCTCACCAGTCATCGACGAGTCTGGTGCCGCCGCAGACTACGGTGCCGTCGCCACGCGGGATCGTGTAGGTCTCCCTTCCGCCTTGGCGCCGCACGATAGAGAAGCCCGGGAGCTCGTTCTTGTCTTGCCGCTCTGCACCTAGGCCGCCGCCGCCGCCGCCGCTGCTGCCAAAGGGCGACTCTCTCTTGAGCCAAGGGGCATTGACGAGCACGACCTGTCCGCGGTGTGGATGGACGGCGGCATCCTCGAGCCCCTTGAGTGTTCTCGCACCGAGACCCGGCGAGAGGATCAGCAGATCAACCGGACCAAAGTAGCCCGAGAAGCTAGGCTGAAAGGTGGCGCGGACGTCTGGCGAAGAGGCAAGGCGGATGGCTTCGGCGACGCTCGAGACTGAGCGATGCACCAATCTGCCGCCAAGCTCGAGGAAGCGGAGCAGGAGCCAGGAGTGGTAGACGGGCACATTGATGTCGAGCGTCGAGAAGGTGCAGCCTGCCGCGATACCAGGAGGCAAGGCGGCCTGCGGCATGACCTTGAACTGGCATTGAGAGAAGGGACAGGACCGGGAAGAAGGGACAGGACCGGGAGGTCAGACATGGTCAGGATAACCATGGGAGAGCCATAGCTCTGCCGACAGAACAGGCCGATGTCACTCACGTCTGGATACCAGTCCAGCACTCCCAACGCAGGGTGGCTTCCATCGGGTTTGAGCGCTTCAAAGTACTCGGTCTGGTGAACCCAGACGAGCGGTTCGGCCTCGAGCTGGAGCTTGGCGTGCTGCCACGGCCGCAGCTTGGCGAGCTGGCGCATGTGCTCGAACGTCTGCTGGTCGTGCCTCTTTTCCTGCTCCGTCTTGGCATCGCTGACGTGGTGACCGCCTGCCCAGGCACTCGCAAACGTGGCGGGATGCCTGGCCGAGCTGCCGACGCTGCCCGTGCCGACGGCTGGCGTGGGATCCAGGATGTGCCATGGTTGGTGCTGTGAGGCGGCACCTGGCTGTCGCTGTCGACTGCCGTCCTGCTGTTGCGGCAACGAGGGGACGTCCTTGGAGACGATCGTCACCCTACGGTGCAGCTTTTCGTTTGAGGATTCGAGCAGGGCGATGGCCGTCGTAAGGCCAATGACGCCCGCTCCCACGATGGCGATGTGCTGCGAAGGCTGGCCTGCGGACATGGTGTAGGTGCTGGTGCAGAGCGTGGACGGGCGTGGTCTGGATTGGTGGAAGCGGGAAGCGGATGAGCCAAAGGGGAAGCAGGCCGATTATTCAAGCTGCCGCTGCACACCGCAAGTCGCCCAGCCAGAACGCCGTCCTGGAGGCCGAAGTCTTGGGAGCCGCCCCCGCATCCTCAGCCCCGCCAACGCAACCTTGACCTCGGCCTCGACCGCCGGACAGCACGCAAAAAAGACGAGTACAAGAATGTTGCTACAATGCGAGATGCAGAAAGCCAGATCAACGAAAAGAGAACACAATGACGGCGGGGACGACGACGACTAGGAGACGACACCGAGCGAGAACAATGCGGCGACCCGGCGGACTAGAGGAATGGCCCGCCGACGGGACGACGACGACGGCGGGGAGGAGTCGGGGAGTGTGACGACGCACACCATCAGCGGTCGCCTCAGAGGGAAAGCTCGCCACTCGCTCACTTCTTGCTGCCCACGGTCGCATCGCTGCCGTCCGGGCTGCTCTGCGCCGCCATCTTCTTGGAGCTCGTCGATAGCCCCAGGGAAATCTTTTTGATGCCGCCGACGCCCGCGTGCCCATTCTCCTTCTTGCCGCCGGCGTCCTTGCCCCGTCGGTTGGGCGATGCGCCGGGATCGGAGCTGGACGACGGCGTACCGCCCGCTTCGGCCTTCGTCCCAGGCCCCTTTGTCGGTGTCGAGCCGGCAGATCGAGACCCTGATCTCGCCGCCGACGGCGAGGGCGAGCCCGACGAGGTGCCAGAAGGAGAGGCCGAGCCGCCGCCGTTCTTGCCCTTGCCGCGTCCGGATCCTCCGTTGCTGCCCACTCCAAACGTGCTGCTGATGGTGTTGGCGACGCTGCGGATGAAACCGCCAGGCTCCTGCGTGCCGTCGTCGCAACCGTCGTCGCCCTCGTTGCCGCTGCCGCGCTTCTGCTTGGTCTTTTGCTTGCCGTTCTTCCGCTTCGCAAGGCGTCCCACCATATCCTCTTCCTCTTCCTCGTCCTCTCGCCGGCGCTTTTCAGAGAGCTTCGGCGGCGTCTGCTGTTCCCGAGGCGACGGTGCCGACGCCTCTGCGCCAGCGGCTGCTCCGCCGTCGTCGTCATCATCGTCGTCGTCGTCGTAGGGCACGAGTCCGATGACGTTGGAGCTTGTAGGCGCAGATGCACTACTAGTCGAAGACGATCCTTGGTCCTCTTCGTCGTCGGCGGTGTTGAAGTAGCTCTCCTCGTCCGAGTCCATATCGGTCCGCGTCGCTCCTCTCCTTGCGAGGTCGCGTTGCCTGAAGGCGAAGCAGGAAGCAGCAGAAGAGGGGAAGAGGTCAGGATGGAAACGTTTGGCCACTCGACACGGGGAAAAGTGCTGAGCGCAGACCACAGCGCACTCACTGCCTGGCCTTTTCCTCGGCTTGAGCCTGCGCCGTCGCCGTGTCGTCGGAGCTGGCCACGGCGGGCTCGACATTCTTCTCCCACTGAGATACGATGGCGGAGAAGCAGGCGCCGACATTGGGCGAAGATGCAAGCTGGCGCATCCTGGCGCCGTGACGCTCCATGCAATGGTTGATGAGCTGCTTCATATTGGCCTGTTGTACGTGAGAGGACGGAAGAAGTGACAGAGAGGTTGACGAGGCCCGCAAGTCAGCTCCATCGTCCGTGCTCGGCTGCCAGCAACGAGAGCTGGCTAGGGACCGCCGAGGGAAGCTCGGCGCAAGCTCCCGAGCGAGGGGCAGACTTACCTTTCTCATCAGCTCGAAAAAGTCGAGGCAGGCAGAGCAGACCAGATTGTTCCTGTCGGCCTCGGACTCGACCAAGCCGAGGATGGTCGAGAAGAGCTCGATCTTGATGAAGTGGCGGTTGGTAAACTGGTTGTTGCTCGCGAGGCAGTGCTTGAAGAAGCGCAGCGCCGAGAGACGGATGTGCTTCTCCTTGGAGTGCAGCAACGAGCCGACCTTTTTCGAGATCTCGGACGTGAGGACAAAGTACTGGCTGCGGAAGGTGTGGTGCACGATCATGTAGCACAGCAGGTCGCAGAGGTGGCCGTAGAGGGCGGAGCGGGCGCGCGGTTGCGGGGCAAGCTTCTCGCCCTTGGACAGCACGCGGACGTCCGGCAGCGAGTTGAAGGGCGAGCACAGCCTTGCGATCTCGGTCTCGTAGATCCACGTGAGGAAGCGGTCCCGATCCGAGTCGGCCTTGATCTTGCTGTTGACGACGCTACCCAGCAGCTGGGCCTGAGCCGCCATCGGCCCGCCCTCGCCGACATCAAAGATGATGCGCATTGCCTCCGCCATCTGCGCCTTGAGGCCGAGGTCCTCCTCGGCGTGGAGCAGGTCGATGAGCATGCTGATCAGCGGTCGCTCGCCCTGGTCGACCTGGGCCACGACGTGGCTGCGCACGCCGTTGGCGTCGTATTCGATGATCGTCATCAGGATCTCGGCGGCGGCGTTGCGGATGTGCTGATCGAGGCGCTCCAGGGCGTACTGGACCACCTTGAGCAGGCCGCGCTCGGATAGGGTCCGGTATAGGGCGAGCCGGGCCGGCAACTGGATCTGCTTGCCCATGCCGCAGAGCTGCTGCAGGAAGAGGACGCCCTCCGACTTGCGCTCGTCGGACTCGTCCGGGCTGCCCAGCAGGCCGAAGAGCTGCCCGAGGAACGCCTCGTTCTGGCCGCAGTAATTGACGATATCGCTCTGGTGGAAAAAGACAAACGAGTTGAGGATGGAAAACGTTGGGTCGTCGAGCACGCGTGCCAGTATGACGTCCTTGAGGTAGAGGAGGCGGTAGGTCTGGTGGATCTTGGCAACGATCATGGGATCGGCGATCTCGACCACCTGCTTGAACTGCGCGCGGTCGCGGAGGTAGTCGCGGTAGCTGGCCTTGAGGCGCGGGAACTCGGGGTCGTACTCGAGCATGCCGACGACGCCTAAAAACACCTCGTCCTGCAGCACGTACTCGAAGATGACGTTGTCGTTGAGCATCAGGATCGTCTGCATGATGAGGCAGAGGAGATGAAGCGACGGCAGCGCCTCGAGCTCCTCGGCGTCCTCAAAGACCGGGATCAGCTTCTTGATATAGTGCTCCCGCAGCAGCCAGATGGCCACCTTTTCGCGCATGAAGGGGCTCCGGGTGGCGGCGTCCTTGAGCGTCATCTCGATGGCGTCGAGGTTGCCCAATTCGGGGTCCGGCAGCCCAACAAAGGAGCCGTCGTGGCTGACGAAGCTGTCCATGCCGAAGCCGGATCCCGAGACGCCAAGCGCACCCGTCATCGGCTGCTGGTTGGGCGTCGTCGGCGGCGAGTCGGAGAGCGCCTCCTCGGCGAGCCGGGCAAAGTGCTTTTGGACCTCGGTGAGGAACTCCCACACCTCGTTGCAGCCCTCGGGCTCCTGGAACGAGAGCGCCATGTCCGCTCCGCCGGGTTCGGTCCAGACGACGAGCGTCTCCTGCTGCCTCTGGTAGACCTCCTCGCGGACCACTTTGGACGCCAGCAGCACGTCTTCGGTCTCCAGGTTCTCGCTGACGACGACAACGAACTGGCACGGTCGCTCCTTGACGCCGCCCTCGCGATGCCCGAGACCTTCGCCGCCGAGGTCCGCCATGCCAGCCTCGTCGTCGTCGAGGTCGCTCTGGATGTCAACTCCATCGAGGAACTGGCACTTGTCCTCCTTGCGGGCCACCAGCAGCGCCTCGTCGACCGTCTCATCGTAAACGCCGGCGCAGTAGCCGGTTCCGCGGTCGTGCCAGATCTCGCCCTGGAGCTCGTACACCTTGACCCGCCGCGCCGAGCCGCACTGGTGATAGTTGCCTCTTGACACTGTCGACGTCAGCGTGAGCGTCTCGTTGGACGACGTCGAGAGATCCCCCGAGGCATCCTCCTCGAGCGGGATGGTGGAGCTCGCCAGCATCGAGGGCATCGTACCGTTGACGCCGACCGCGGCGTACTGATCGGGAGCCAGGACGTGCTGCTGTGGGCCGAGCGCCTCGCCGCCCTCGATGGCCGTATCTTGCAGGTGGACGCCGAGCATCTCTCCGGGAATGCTCGTCAAGGGCCCGCTGATCAGATCCTGCTGCCCAGGCCCAGCCTCTATCCCCGCGGCGGCGTGTTGAACCAGTCCAGTCTCGTACGGCGCCGTGACGACCAAGAGCGACTGTTCCAGAGATGGCCCTGAGCCCGGCTCTGCATCCATCTGCGATGGCACCGCATCTGCAGCCGGCATTGTCGACGTCGAAGGCGTGCCAAGCTGCCCGTTGTCGGCGTCCGCACTCGTTGACGTCGTCGCTGTCGTCGCCGTCGCTGCCGTCGTCGCGGCGGCAGCGTCAACACCTTGAGTCTCAGTCGAGAGCTCCTTGTCGACCTCCATGGCATCCCTCCTAGCCTCTGGACCGTCGTTCATGTCAGACGCCGGCCCGGCTGCCGCTGTGCCCTGATCCGGCTGCTGTGGCGCAACGGAAGGCGACTCGACCGACTGCCCAGACCCGAGCTTGAAGCTTTCGTCCCCTTCTGACGCCATGTCATGCCCCTATGAGTGGGGTCTTTGCGGGTCCGGGGGGGGTGTCGGCGGTACTGAAAGTGTTGGATCCAGGAGCCGCAGACAGGCCGGATCTCGGCTCTATGGCGATGGTGTAGAGCAAGAACGTCGCGGACCGCTCTGCAGCCTTGCAAATGAGAGGCAAGATGGGGGGGCAAGACGATGCGATCGATGGTCGTGTATGGAGGGGTGCAGTGGTGAGGAGGCTCGGTTTGACGAGGTGCGGGCGTTGAGATTCAGCTTCTGTCCTGCATTCCGAGGCTCAGATCGAGGTGCAGTGTCGAAGCGCCGCTGGGTGTCGGAAGAGCCGAAAAGGCGGTGTTGCGGCGCGGCAGCGGGCTGTTCCGAGACCAGGCAAGCAGGCGGCTTGTAGCCACACCTAGCTGCTGCGAGGGAGCAGCAGCAGGAGACGGCCTCAAAGCGATGAGCTTGAAGCCCTTGGCGGTCCGAAGTCCGAGATCCCACGTCTATCGGTCGGCGTCCCGACGAAGTGCGAGTCACGCACGCCCTTGCTTCACGTTTTACGCACGAGCTTCTGGCTCGGCTGGCGAGATGGAGATGTAGACGAAGCAAGCCGACGCTGCGTCGATAGAGAACCGACGGCCGAGCGCGCCGCAATCTGAAAAGGCGAGGTCGTCCCCAAGGGCGTCTGTCGGGGTCCGGATGGGTGTGGACCGACGTGACAGGATCGTCTGCGCTCGACCAGAGCGCCAACACTGCCCGGTCGGGAAAGCCGAAAGGATGGGACGGGCGGCGGCGAAGAGAAGCGCGGACGGATGTTGTACAGAAGGTGTGGTCGTGGTGAGCGCGAAGGAGATGCCCTTGGAAGCAACGAGAAACGGAAAAGCGCAATGTGGCGGGCTCGCGGAGGGGAGGTGATGATGATGATGATGATGACGACGACGACGACGACGACGAGCAACTGGCCAGCAGCAACGACGGATGACCCTTGGGAAAGCTCGCCTGCTCGCCTGCTCGCCTGCTCGCCTGGCCAGGCCAGGCCAGGCCCTCTGGCAGGCGTGCCCGGCCCTGCCTCGGCCCAGGCCCCGAGAGGCGCGGGTCGCGCGCGACGAGCATCCCAGCCAGCCTGGCCGGACAGGCAGGCCCCAGCCTGCAGAACCTGGCCGTGGTCTCTGCTGCCTGCCTGCCTCTCTGCCTCTCCCTTTGCCCGCCCGCCTGGCTTTTTTGCGCCGCCCGCCATCTGGCCTGCAGCCTGGGGCGGACCGCCCGCCTGGGACCTCCGGGCACCTTGCTGCTTGCTTCCTTCCTGCCCGCCTGCCCGCCTGCCTGCCAGCCGAGACGTCACACAGGAAAGGAGAAGAGGCAGGCTAGGCTAGGTCAGGCAGGGTACCTGTAGCTGGCGCCCGTCATCCGCCAATTCGGTCCCTCGGTCGGTCGCTCAGCGTGGCCCTGGCCAGGCCCTCTCGAGCCAGACGGCCGGCGTCAGTCTGCCCGCTGCTTGGTCGCTTTTTAGGCTCTACCGAGATCCTCATGCGAGAGGAGGGAAGCCACCGAACGAGGTAGACACCCACCTCTTGACCCGCCGACCGACCGACGCAAGCCCGTTTCCGAGAAAAGCGTGGAGACCAGGCAGCTTTCTTTCGACACGTCGAAGACGAAATCGACTCTGCCACCACCGCTTCACACCCCTGGCTGGCTTCCTTCTACCTGACCCCCTTCGACACCGTGCGCCGAGTCCTACGGGGGCACCAGGGGACCCTCTCAAGGGGTTCATTGCGCTGCAGTAAGTAACGCTGACGGGCGGCGCGATTGCAACGGAAGCAAATCAGAGTGCGATCGAGGTGACACGACGAGCGCAGAGGGACGAAGAGAGGGGACGTCGGACGCGGGCCCTGAAGGGCGTTGTTCGGATTGCAGAGCTTCGCAAGGCATGCCGCACGGTGCTGCCTCCGAGAGTGGTCCCCGCCTGGCAGACGAGAAAGATCAGGGATACGCATTGTGCGGGGCAGCAGACGACCCAGGCCACTGCGGGCATCAGCAGCGACGAGAACAGGACAGCGGCGGCGGCGACGGCTGCTGGCGGGACGTTCCGAGACCAGCCTATCCGAGCTTGCGCGAGCGGACGAGGTGCGACGAGATACCGCTCTGCTCTCCTCCATATCCTCCCTGCAGGCTGGCCTGTCCACCCTTGAAGACGGCCTGCCTCGACGACAGCTTCTTTTTGGCCTGCTCGTACTTCTCCCTCTTCTTGACACGCGGGTTCCGCGCCACCTTCTTGCGCTTCGGCGCCAGGCCCTTGTTCTTCTCGATGGCTCGGTTGATGCCGCGGTGCTGTCCCGGCTCGAGCGTCTCGTCGGGCACGAACCTGTTGCGAGGCGGCGGAGGTCAGGCGAAGAGAGGGGTAAGGGGGAGCGTGAAGGTGGTAGCGAAGGGTTCACAGTAGGCTGGGTCAGTGACCGCTTTGGGTGCGCTCGGCATCCTCTCCCGACGCCGAGTCCTACGAGCCCGACGACAACGCACCTCTCTTCGTCGCGCATCGCCTCGTACGCCTCCTTCTTGGCCTTCTTTGCCGACTTCTTGCCGCTGGCGATGAGGTCGTAGTAGTCCTCGGCATCGTCGTCGCCGTCGCCGTCGCCGTCGCCGTCGCCATCGCCACCCTGGCTCGAGGGTTGCTTACGGCCACCTCCATCGGCATCCACGCCCATGACGTCGCGCCAGTCTCGGTCGTCGGTCTCGCCCCAGCCTCGGTCGTCGAGCGACGTGTCCTTGGCATTCTGGACCTCCCTCTGCTGTCTCGCCGCCTTGGCCGCCTCGACCGCCATCCGGCTGCGCTCGCGGTCCCGGTAGGGAATGTCCATATCGCCCGCCAGCCGGTCGCGCGCCGCTTTGCTCCGCTGGCTGCCCTTGGTCTCGACAGCCGACGCGTGGAACTGCAGGCTGCGCCGCTTTGCATCCCGCTCTGCCGATTCAAACGAGGCCAGTTGCGTTGGTTCGCCGAATGAGGTTGAGGCCTCGGCGTCGCCGTCGTACTGGGACATGGCGAAAGGATTCGGTGCTGCTGCTGCGACAGCGCCAGCGCCGGCGGCGCCCTTGCCCTTCTTGCTCGCCTTGATCTTGAATTCGGGCACCGGCTCGTCGTCGAGGTCGGCCAGCCCGGCCGCCAGCGGTGCCGGCTCTGCAATCTTGCCCTTTTTGGCCTTCTTCCCGCCTTTCTTGGCCTTTTGCGGCTCGGAGGCGGCGGCATCGTCTGCTTCCGCCTGTCCTCGCTTCTTGGCGGCGGGCTTGGCCTTGTCCTTCTGCTTCTTCTCCGTCGCCGTGCCCTTCTTGCCCTGTCCCTTGCCCTTGCCCTTGCCGTTGGCCGTGGGCGCGGTGTTCTCCTTCTCGTCAGCGACGAGTCCGGCCAGCTCGTCGTCTTCCAGCGAGCCGAGGTCGTCTCCGTCATCCTCGCCCTCGTTTGATGGCGTCGTGCCCGCGGTCAGCCCGAGGTCCTCCATGACGCTGAGCCCTTGCTTGAGCTTCATGAGCCTGGTGAGGACCGGGTGGGCGGCGAGCTTGCCTGGGTCGGCGACGTACTCGGCAGACGATCGGAGGTGGAAGTAGAAGGTGATGGTGGTGAGGTAGGTGAGCAGCGTCTGGTGGTGCAGGTGGACCAGCTCAAGGCGCGAGTCGTCGGGCTTCTCGGCCACGAGCTTCTTGAGGCTGGCATCGACCCTGGCAAAGTCTTCGACCGAGTCGGCATACTCGCCGGCCAGTGCGACCGTCTCCGGGCTGATCCTCTGGAGCTTGGCCAGCAGCGCCTGACGGGATTCGGCGTCAGCGGGGATCGGCGTCTTGGCTGCCGAGGTGGCATCGGTAGTGACGGTGGCCGTCGTCGCGGTGGCTGCCGCTGCCGCTGCCGCCGCCGGCGTTGCGGTTGCGTCGGCTGCATCAAACTCGCGGCGACGCTGCTCGCGACCAGCATCGCGGAGGGCCTTTCCGAGGCTGCCGTCGACGTCGTCGTCGCCGAGGCCAAAATCGGCGTCTTCCATTGTGCTCCTACTCTTGCGCTGCAGTCGCTTGACCTCCTTGAGCTCGAGCTCGCGAGCCTCCTCCTCGTCCATCTCCGAGTCGGACTCGATGTCGTCGAGGTTGTTGGTGTTGTAGTAGGCCCTCTTGTTGGGACCCCATCCCTTGTCGTTGATGTGCAGGTCGTCCTCGTCGTCTTCATCGCCGTCGTCGTCAGCGTAGTCGTCCGAGTCGACATCCGAGACGACGGGAGCCGCAGGCTTCTTTGGCACCGGCCGGGAAGTTTGGCCCTCGTCCTCATCGCCGTCCTCGTCCTCGTAGCCGTCGTTCTCCTCATCGGCAGAGGAGTCGGTGTGCTGCCCGGCATCGTCGACGCCGAGGACCTCTCGATCGTAGTCGCCGCCGAGCTCGTCCATGTCGTCTTCTGCGTCTCTACGCGCCTGGTCGCCGTCGAGGAGGATGCTGTCCCTGCCGGCCTCGAAGGCATCGAGGCTATCCTGGGGAATGTCGTCGATGGTGGCATCTCGTCCAAACGAGCCCGGGCCCAGGGCGGCCCTGGACTTTGACGCTCCCTTTGGCTTTGCGCGCGGCATGGTGGGCAGGGACCGTCGTCGATCTGAGCCGTGGCCGGTCCGCGGATGCGAAGGGTTTCGAGCGGAGTAGTCGCAGGGACAAGGCGGACGGGGACGGTGACGGTGAAACGTGAGGGTGGACGGAGCGATAGAGGGGGCGAGTCGGTGAGAGTGTGGTGTCGCCAGGTGGTTGTTGTCGACGTCGTCGTCGTCGTCGTCGTCGTCGTTGCTGTCTTGCCTTTGGACAGAAGGCCTCGCCACGGCAGATGGGTCGACTTGCTAGAAGACGGCGGGGCTTGGCCTGGGCTACGCTGAGCTGGCCTCGAGTAAGAGTAGTGGGTCACGCACGCTGGGCTCGACAGCCGCTCAAAAATTTCGCGCTGCAGCCGGCTTGCATGAACCAGCCCGGCCGCCGCAACTTTTTTTTCCCCCCTTGCCCCGGGCGGGCCGCGTGTCTGCCCAGCCCAGCCTGCCTGGCCATTTTTGATCCAGGCTCGCCGCCGCGACCCTGTCCGGCGGCTGGTGCGAGCCCTAGAGCAGCGTTGAATGATGGAGAGTACGGGTGCCGGTGGCTGGCTTGGCTGATTCTGGCTTCGGGTGGCTGGCTTCTCTCTCGATCCTTACCTAGCTCCTAAACTCACCCGTCCTCACCATCCTCCCCCGGCCTTTCATCTACATCCTTCATTCGCCCGGTCGCTGCTTCGCCGTCTCGCTCACGACTGCGTCCTTGGCCTTGATCCCTGTAGCGTCTCTAACCTCTTCGCTGCAGTCGCAAACCTCCGGCGAAGGCTCAAGACCCCCGGACGTCCTTCAAGGCGGACTGCAAGACGCGCGAAACTAGGGCCACCTACCCTTTCGATTGCATCTCTTATCTCCTTGACCTGTGGACACCTCACACCAGCATGCCGACAACCAGAGGAGGTCGCGAGACGTCGCCGGCCAAATCGACGCGCTCAGCCAAGCAGCTGGCGGCTGTCGAGGCCGGCTCGTCTCCCTCGAAGCCCACCCGCTCCACCAGGCAGGCCAGCCCGCGCAAGGCCGCCTCCCCCGCCCAGCCTACCCGCTTCAGCGCAAGGCTGCGAAGCACCTCGCCGTTTGCGGACCCCTCTGCTGCTCCTGCGCCGGCGTCCAGCAGCAGCAGCACGCTGTCTCCCATCGCGGAGGCTGCGACGACGACTCGAGCTTCACCCCGGAAGCGCGCCTCGCCCTCCAAGAAAGGCCGCTCCGCCACTCCGCGCTCGGCCACACCACCAACTGTTTCCGCAGATTCCACCGAGGATCAAGCGCCTGCCGCGCCTTCCCCTTCTACTCTGGGCATGCCTTCCACGGACGAGATCCCTGAGCTCCAGCAGGCAGAGGCCAGTGTGTCGACCTCGACGATGAGTCCTGCGGAATCTGGCGGCCGCGTCGAGGCGACCGAGGAAGCCGTGGAGCCGGTGTCGACCCCGAACGAGCAGGCGGAGGCTGCCCAAGAGTCCGACGCAGCACCAGCATCTCTTCCGACAACTGTTGCCGACCTTACCTCGACCAATCCGATCGCCGACACAAAACCCGACGTTGACAACGCCGACGACGGGCACGAGCAGGGGCCATCACGGACGCCCGCTGCATCGTTCTCGTCCTCCGGATCCGATAGCGACTCTAGCTCGGACGCCTCGGACTCGGACTCGTCCTCCTCCGACGACAGCGACAGCGATTCCTCCTCGGATGACGACGACGAAGAGCAAGGGCAGGCGGCCGACCTCCGGGCGCTGCTCGAGGCGTCTGCGCAATCATACAAGGACCGGGCTCAACGGCCTGCCTCATCGAACGGCAAGGCCTTCGGCGCAGACGAGGATGTCATCTCCTTTGCCGAGATCACCGGCGAGGTCGACCTCAAGGGCAAGGGCAAGGCCAAGGAGCAGTTGCCGCTGGTCGACAAGGTCCGGGCCAAGCTCGCCGCCACCGGCAAGGTGCCCACCGCCGCCTCGACCTCTGCCCCTCCTGAGCCCAGGCTGGCGACTACGGCTCGGGTCAAGAACGTCGACAAACACATTGATGCGCTGGACAGCGGCAAGCTGACGGGCAACCCGAGGGCGCGGGATGCCGCCAAACGACCCGAGATCTCTACGGCCGGCCGCAACTGGTTCGACATGCCCGAGTTCGGAGCGTCCAACTCCCGGCTGCAGGCCGCCACCAAGCGCTCCGTGGTCGACGCGGGCAAGAGCAGCGGCAGCGGAGGCGATGCGCGCGTGGCGACGGCCGAGCAGCTACGCAAAGAGGTCCAGGCGATCCGGCTGCGCAACGCCCTCGATCCGAAGCGCTTCTACCGAGGCGGCGCAAAGGACCGCGGCATGCCCAAGTACGCCCAGATTGGCACCATTATCGCATCGCCGCTGGAGCCCAAGTCGGTCATGAACCGGCGCGAGAGGGGCCGCACCGTCGTCGAAGAGCTCATCAGGGACGCTGAGGCTTCCGCCTACGCCAAGCGCAAGTTTGCAGAGTCGCAGGAGCGCAACGCGTCGGGCCGCCAAGGCAGGGGGAAGCGTTTGCGCAAGCACAAGTAGGGCGGCCTCGTCTGGCCCACCGACGCCTCCGAGTCTCGTGGGCAGCGAGGTTTGCGATCGCATAGCGGTTGCCTGGGCATCGACCCAGCGTGGCTCGATCGTCTCCCGCCACCTCCTTCGCCCCTCTATCTGCTCTTCTCGCGAGCCAGATGCAGCGCAGGGGCTGCACGAGGTGATGGTCAGCGGTACCGGCAGCCTCCCCTCTTCCGCTGCGCTTCCGGCAGCGCTTCCGCCACTTCCTTCTCGTTCGCCGATCATTCATCCCTCGTCTCATGACCGACGACCATCTGCGACCGTCCTCGCCCTCTACCAGCTGCACCCGCCGGCATGTTTGCGGATCGCGCCGGGCCTGCGTCGGTGGACGTCGCATTGGCCAGCCCGGCATTTCGGAGCCGCGTCGCAGTTTTGATCTCGGCTTTCGGAAGTGAATATTTTCCCGACACGGCCGAGAAAGTTGCTGCTCGCACGCAAGCAAGCAAGCCAAGCCAGGCCGGCTGCGACGCAGCTGCAGGCCGCGATCTCGGACGCAGGGGTCCGCTTTTCGAAAATCCAGTAGGCAGGCCAGCGCCGGCAGGCCGGGCGACCGCGAGAAAAAATTTTCTCCTCTGCCCTGGGGCCCGCGCGGCACCCCCTCGCCCCCTCGCCTGCTGAGGCGGCCTCGCCTGTGTGCTGCTGCCGGCCAGGCACCTGGCTGGGTGACTCGTCGACGCCTGGCTGGCCAGCGCTGCCCTGCCTGCCCTGCCTGCCCTGCCAGCCTGCCTGGCTGTGTGCCTGCCCCGCCGCCTGGTGGATGGGTGCCGGCGCTGGGGGATGCGCTCCGTCGTCTGGCCCGCCGCTCGCCTGCGAGGGTGCGATGCGGGCAGAGGCCAGGCAGGGGGTCCCAGCATGCAGCCTCTGTCCGTCTCCCGCGCTGGCCGCCGCCCTGCTGGCACCGCCCTGCTCCTAGACTCTCTGCCCTCGCGGCCTGCCCGCCTGGCTGCCCGTTTGCCTGACCGTCCCTTCGTTCCCTGCCTCCCACCCCTTGCCTGCCTTCCTCTTTCGCCCGTTTTCCAAAAGTCGAAAGTCGAAATTTCTCCTGCCAATTGGCGCTCGACTGCTACCATCATACAGGCCCAGCCCGAGCCTGCCCCCCAGCATCGCATCGCCGCGTTCGTCTTGCGCGAGCGTCCATCCAACCTTGCTGCTCGCTCTTTCCTCTTTCACCAACCCATCCTCGTCTCGCATTTCGGCGCGAGTCGGCCTTACGCAACCCTCCCTCCCATCCTCCCCTCTTCCCCCCTCCTCCCCCTCTCCTCGACACGACCTACCGACCCTCGTACCCCTACCCCGTCCCCCCGTACCCCCGTACCCCGTACCCCCTCCCCCTACCCCCGTCCCCGTACCCCGTACCCCTACCCCGTCCC